TGGGGTAATTTAAACTTAAATTGAAAATCAGCTACAGTGATTACAACGGATTCGATACCCTTCACGGTAGGGGTAGACCATCCGCTACCTAGGTACCGTGACCACAGTATAGCCTACCGCTAGGGGTACCGTGAAGCCCATGATTTTCCATTGGATCTGGCGGAACCTGGGGTCAAACGGTAAGGTCTACCGTTCCGCAGCCTACCGAGGTAGGGGGTACCGTGTACCACCCAAGTGAAACGTACAACGGTACGTTCACCTGGTTACCGGCGGTACCCTGGTACCGTGTACACGGTAGCAGGGTACCGTTGGACTTGTAATGTTTTCCAAAACATGATTTCTATGTTCGTTTTCGAAATAACCCCAACTTAGAATATTTTTGACATTTTAGAAATAATATTTTGAGTGAAAGGGCATAAGTAAATCATTAAATATATCATTACCTTTACACAATTATTTCTAAACCCGTAGGAGTACATCTCGGTGATGCTAATCAAGTTAATAGAGGTTTGGTGTTTGATTTCTTCCTGCAAATGACGTTAGTAGCATTAGAAGACTTATTTGGAACATCAAAACGGTTACGGGGTACGACATTCAAGGCCAACAACTAGAATGTTTGTATAGATCGTTTCTACATTCATAAATGGTCATTTGGTTGAGTTTTGTGTTTGACATGCTTGAAGAACGTAACCAAGAATCATAAACCTTGAATTTGATGTTAAAACTACAAACTAATGATACCAAAATGATCTATGAACCTTGGAGAATAATTCTATATAGTTTAATTGAAGTTTGGTGACTAAAAATGGTATTTTCAAAATTGGACCCGAGGAAGAAGAAGATGAACAGTAACCTGCAAAAATAGCCTGTAGATGATCGATCCTAAGGGGTGGATTGATGATTATGATGAATAATATTGATTGATGATTATGGTAAATATTATTGATTGATGATAATGATAATTAAACCTTGATTAATATTCTGATTAGATAATTATGAATGATTGAACCATGACTTAAAAATGAATATATATTGATGATTATGAAAATGATGAGTATTGTTAAGGATATCCAGAAGAACTCTAAGATATATCCATGTTGATGTTGGTTTCTAATACTATCTAGAAAACCTCTAAGATAGATTAGAGATAGACCTTGCGGCAATAATTAACTAAGAATATTCGATGGCCTGGGTAAAAACGTACGTACGCGATCTGCAAGAACACGACAATTTCTTCAAGAATATGGCTCTCATACGCTATGAAAAATGCATGTAATGAATGCGATGACAGCACCACTGAGATGATGAAGATTGTGTGTAAAACGAGAGGTTAAGGTGCCTTTTTATACGCTGAAATGAGGGGTTAGCCATTGCACAATAGTCTAAGAAGGCCCGGACAAATATTTTGAAAAAACACTATTATAGTCGATTTTCATAAGTAAATAATCCATTATCAAAATATTCCTTGTCCAAAAAACCAAAAAACTATCCATTGGAGGGCAATGGTAACTGTGATAGTCGATTATCAAGTCCCTCTGAAGTTACTGAATTTTGGCTAAAAACTGGCTGATAGTCGATTGTCACATTCTGATAGTGGACTATTAAGCTTCTCTGAAGTTCTGATGGTTTAGGATGATGCTGGAACTGGATTTCCTACACTTCGATTCAGATGCATTTCGGGTATGAAGATGGAATTCACTTAGGCTTCGGAGGAACGAAGTGAAAGGTACGAATTCACTCCCAAGATTCGTTTCACTATTCGTTGTTTGTTGAACTAAATGAGTTTTCTAACTACGTTCAACGAAATGAGTTGAACATAGTGAAACGAATCTCTATTCTCTGTTCTCTAGGGACTTCATACCTAGAGATTTGTTACACTATGTGAAACGAAATGAGTTGAACATAGTGAAAGGAATCTCTGTTCTCTGTTCTCTGTTCTCTAGGGACTTCGCACCTAGAGATTCGTTTCACTATGTGAAACGAAATGAGTTGAACATAGTGAAACGAATATCACTTTCTGATAGTAGACTGTCGAAGGCCAAAAAAACTAAAAACTCATGTCAAAAACCAAAGTTTCCCAAATCAAAAAGCAATTCTTGGAAACACTTATTTACTCTATATAAAGAAAAAACCAAGTTTGAAATGTTAAAAAATCAAGCCTTTAGGGTGAAAACCACAGATCACCAAGTGAAGGATGGTTATCATGGGTTTTGAGCGAAACCCATAAACCAAGAGTGGTTTTTTTGGAAAACAACGGTTAGTGAACCTTTTAAATAAACCTAGTATTAAAAACTAAAGATTAAAAAGTGAAAATCACTTGGTTGAAATGAGCGCTAAAAACCAATGCTGAATGCCAAAAACCAAAGGTTATGGTTTTTGAAAACTCAACGTTAGGAAAACCTTTAAATGTTCCCAGAAGCAAAAATCAAAGATAAAAACTCAAAAATCATTTGGCTAAAATCAATTCCAATAATTGTAACACCTTAATCCGTCCAGGTCTGCAGCTCCTTTAGAACTACAGTTTAAACTTTGTATTCGTAAACATTCAAATATTTCATACATTTTTAAAACTTTATTCCATAATAAATTATTCAGAATAATAACGTAGTATTTGATGTTTGCGGAAGCTTAATAAATCACAATTACAAACATAATAATATTATGTCTTTAAAAATAGTAATTCAAATTCACACATCCATCCCGACCATGTCGCCCCTTGGATGTGATGGGTAATAGTAGAATATGATGGGTAATTAATAATCAAAAAGTGTAATGTGATAGACAGGTTAATAATTAGTTAGGGTAAAAATGACTTTTTAATAGAAATGAGAAAGGTTTTTTGGGACGGATGAAAAAACAAAAGAGAAAAGTTTTGTGGGACGGAGGGAGTATATGTTTATGTGCTTGTGTATATATGGTTTGGACCCGCGAGGTTGGTTGGTTTAGTATTTAAATATTCTACTACAACGTGTATTTTATTCATAAATTTTTATACATAATTTCAAACTTAACAAACAATATGTCGTTGGTCAACATTTCATGAGGGTACCCAATGACAACAATATTGAATACTCCCTCCACCCATTAATTCTTTTCTTACTTTCCTTTTTGGGTCGTCCAAATTAAAATTCTTTTCTCTTTTCCTATTTTCGCAAAAAATCTTTAATGAATATGTCATTATACCCCTATTTTTTATCTACACTATTCACTTTATTCCATCTCATCAAGGTAATACATGGAAAGTCTTTTAACTTTTTAACTTTCTTAATCTTCATGTCAAGTCAAATGGGAAAAGAAATTTTTAGACGGAGGGAGTATACTACGTATTATTTTGAATCTATGACATACTTATATTTTATTCTTTTACTTTATTGTCCTTTCGCTCCTAGGGCAGCCACGTCACTAAGTTTTGTAACTCAAATTCACACACGAAATACACCATTGGACACTCTCTTCGAGACCTACAATTGAAATATAAACTTGAACATAAAAAGACTACTTTAAAATATCTTATTTTGGGCCTGAAGTTTCAATTCTTAATAAATTTTGGCGAACATCAGAATTACGACTTGTTAGAATTTCATCATAAGTTCTAGGGTATATTTCTGGACATTGGAGTTTGTTAGGCACCAAACATTTCAAGTCCTATGCAAGGGATGATTTTAGGGGTAACTATTGCATCTGAAGGTTGATATAAAGAAATGGCCACAACCAAATGATAATGACGAACCAATGATGGGATTGGCTTAAATTTTGCCCTTTTTTCTACTAGACTACACATTATTTAATCTTCTATATGTATATCCAGAATACATAAGCAAAGTGCATACCTCAAAGTACATTGTACAGACTCAAAATACATTATCATTCACAAAGTACATAATCATATATAATCAAAAGGGCATGGTTTGCAAACTACACTAGACTAGGAAATAATGATTATTATGAAGTGGAAGTGTACATATAAAACACCTCAAACTACATCAGACTTAGACAACAAAAATGACCAAAATGAGAAAGAGGATAGCAAGTAAAGCTTTCACTTTCACCCTTTCAGCACCTAACTTCTTTCCCAACTTAAACACCTTCCTTTTTAACTCCAGAATCTCTTCATCATGACAATTTCAAGCAAAAACACGGGCTGCTTCCACGTGACTAGGAACATCATCAATTTTTTCTTTCATGTTACCATCAAGCTTATCAATCCATTTAAAAAAATTGCAAGACATTCTAGTTAGCAACTTAGGTGCAAGACTAAAAAGATGGTGAGTAACATTTAAAAATTAAGCTAAAACAATAGAAAGTAAAAATAGCCTCACAACAACAATGCAATTTAGAACCCGTTATGCAAAATACCTAAATATAGTGACTTAAATTCCAATTACGCCATCTCCAAAACATTCTATCTATTTTTTTAGATTTCGACTCAAACATCCCATCATAAGCTCATCGTTGCAATCACAGAACCTCCTTTGTCTCATGACGGACGAGGGTGAAGATTTACAAGAAAATGTTTGCTTCAAGAGAGTCATACCTTCAAGGCGAGGCTGAGGGAGAACGATGAACGGAAGGACAACGTAGAGGGCTAATCGAAATGTATGAGAGAAGATCCAAGAGAAGAGACAAGTAGAGATAGAGTTTTTAAGGAGGGTGATGATAAATTGGTCCAAGTGGGTACTAAGTAGGATAATTACGAGCCACATCAGAAAATTACCAAGTTTAAAAAAAATTATTTTAAAAAAATTTACGAGGACAAAAATAAAAACCCACATATTTTCAAGGACAAAAATCATATTTTACCCAAGTAATACAGTCAATCATTTGGTATCTATATTTAATATATAATATTTATTTTTTAATTTCATATTTTGTATAAAGTACTTTGAAAGCGCAAGGAGAGGATAATTTTTTTTATGACTAAGAGAATATTAAAATGTTCAAAAATTAGGTAATGCACCGTACAAAAACTACCTCCCACAACTGTAGCTCTTTTCGGAATTCTTTGATTTCAGACCCACTTCCCTCTCCCTCCCCCTCTCCCCGTTCATCACCAGTCAACACACGGAAACAGAAAAGTGAGAAAACTGAAAAATGGAAAAGCTGTGCAGTCTATACTACTACTCCAGTCCACCATGCATAAAAGTTGGAGAAGATACTGAGACGCCATAGCTTAGCACACAGGGAACGGATTAAGCTCTCTCATGGTGTTCAAAGGCCGACTTTTTTCTTCTAAGAAACCCGATGTTTCCAGCCCAGATGCATCGGCTAATAGCCCGCGATCCGTCAGGCCGAATTCCCCGATCCGATCTGATAAGAGCTTGGGGATGTCAAATTCCATTTCCAAGAACAACTCTCCTGCTACTCCCTCTTCGATTTCAAGTTTAGCTGCGAGCTTCAGAGATAAGAAGAAAGATGGTAAATGGAAAGAGAGCACAATAGGTAGTTTGAATTCTTCGGGGATGTCTGGACCAGGAGGAGGAGAAACATTGGGCTCTTTGAAGCAGAAAAATTTGGGTATGGCCGAGGTCAAGGATGTTGGCCCTCAGACTGCTGTATCTGTGTCGCCTATTCTAGCATCTTCTTTGGGTTTGAACAAGATTAAGACTCGATCTGGGCCGTTGCTGCAGGAGAGCTTCTTTGGGTATGCGAGTAGAGATAAGGGTAGTGCTGTGGGTGTTAGTAGCTTGCCCAAGCCTGCTGGGAATACTGTTAGAGTGGATGGGTCATCATCTTTGGAAAAGAAGAATTCTAGAGAGGAGGAGGAGAAGGGGACATCTGAGAAATCATGTTGGGCGGATATTGGGAGCAATTCGGAATGTATGCCAATGGAGAGTGCGCAGTCCAGGAACCAAAGCTCTCACAGTCTAGGGCTGTCGAGGCTGCAGAATGGCGTGTCTTCTTCTGAAGCAGGTATTTTTAGACAGCCACCATTGCAATTAGTTACACTTTCTCAAGCCGCATTACTCGTGATTACTAACCTCAAAGGTTGATGCTAAAGCACCTCATCACTTGCCTAGTATACAAGGCACTGGTGGCTTACTTGCTTACCCAAGTGATCTTACTTAGTTAATACAACTATATACTCTGCATCGCAAAGAAAAACACAAACTATAGTCAATGAGCATAATCAGTGAATATCTAATCTACTCTTTCACTTAGTTTAAAACATTTGTTCACTATAAACAAGTGTCTATTTCCCATGTAGAAGAAAGTTTTTATCTTAAATCGTGAAATGTATTTCTCTTTGGCTTAATTAGTTAAATGTAGGTAATCTCTCTACAAACATTTTTGAAGAAGTTTAGGATGATAAACTCGGGCTTGGCTCTACACCACGAGCCTCCACATGTCTTGCCCGAACACACCCTTAGGCCCGAACCCACCCCCACCTAATCCAATAAACTTATTAAATCCTTACTAAATACATCACATAAAAATAATAAGTGGTCTTTCCCCTTTGTCCTAGCCTTGGCCAAACAATTCGAAGGTGAAAGAAAAGAAAAAAGCCCTTTTTGACTTTAAATTACCAATGTTTTCCCACCTTATTCTATTACCTTAATACTATCACCTAATAATATCTTTAGCCGATTTTCCACCTTCCTATTAGCCTTAGCAGAATCTACCTCCACCCTAGCCGGCTAGCCCAGAACCACCACTTTATTAACATAATAAGTAAAGATGCATTTCCACACTTTTTTCTTAGTGTGTGGGCCGAACCAAGAAGAAAGAAAGAGGAGACACAACATGCTTCACCTTTGGGAAAGTTACTTTACCTAAAGTTGCTTTAGTTTTTGTTGTTTCAAAGTTACCATTTTATGTTTCCACTTTTACTATACCTTCCATCATGTATAATGATGTATTAGTGTAGAAATACTTCCCTCCCATCCCCTCTCCTATTTGTAATCTGTTGAAGTTTAATGTAATGAAATATGATGCTCTCTTATTAGTTCTTATAAGAGTGTGATGTTATTTTGCCCGAATCCCCAATTTCTTTTTCTTTAGAGTGGTTCTCTTGAGTGTGAGTAGGTTCTAGTAATTTAATTAGGAGTGATTTTTATTTAAATTTTAGAGTTAATTCCAAGTTAAGATAAGATTGTGTCACATCTCTTAACTAACTTGGTTTATCCCTTCCTAATTTTATTCTCCCATTTTTGACCTTCATATTTCTCTATTTTCTTTCATAAAAACAATCGAAAAGGAACTCTTCATATACCTCCTTCATACTCACCATTTTCATTCCTACCCATACATATCCAAAAATCTTTGATTTTGTTATATACTCCCTTCGTCCCAATGATTTTTCTCATTTCGGACTACAATGGTTGAGTGAGTTTATTTTAATTCAATTTATTTGAAAATTGAGGTAAAATTAAGAAAATAAAAATTTTACTCCCTTCGTCCCAAAACAAGGCACGATTTCACTTTCGAATTTCCCCCCGATGTGACCTTCATGTGAGGTGGTTGGAATAAGAGAGATGGTGTAAAAGTGATTGGAAAAGGTAGAAGTAGGTCGTTGGAATAGGGGAAAGAGTGTAAAACTGATTGAAAAAGTAGAAAAAATGATTGAGAAGGTCGGGGTATTATAATATTTTTAGTGAGTTTGTAATGCCAAATATCTTTCCATCATCTCCGATGGAGCCAAAATTTCACCATTTTTTGGCTTTGGGGTGTGATGGAATAAATCAAAATGGATCTCTAAACTATCTGCGCTTCTTTAATTAATGAAGTAGCAGTTAGTCCATCAATGCAACTTTCGACGTTGAGCTGGGGGTCTCTTTGGAAACAGCCTCTCTACTTTCAAGTAGGGGCAAGGTCTGCGTACACACACCCTCCCCAGACCCTACTCTTGTGGGATTTAACTGGGTTGTTGTTTGTTGTTTTGTAATGCCAAATATGGAAGTGTGTCTACCATTTTGGGTCGCCTAATTTGGATAGCGCGCCTTTAGTTTTGGGACGGAGTGAGTATATCTAAGAACGGCATCAAAAGTTCTACAAAATAAGAGGTGACAACACTATATTATCTATCAAATGAGTAATGAAATTAAGCAAAGAAAGTGATTAATTTTTAACCCTGGAATAGTGAACAAGAATATTTTTGGATTCAAGTATTGCATTCGTGCTTTGTTTCTTCTCTTTTGGCATTATAGTATGAAACCTTTCATAGGCCTACAACCATAAACTTGAGCTTTTGCTTGAGATGGTTTTTGACATGGTATCGGAGCCTTGATGACCAAGAGGTCACAAGTTCAAACCTCATTGCCACCCAATTTTTTTTAAAAATTATTTTTTACGTGCAAGGCTCGATAAAAAAATAAAATCCCGCCTATGCGTTAAAGTATAAAACCTTTCATGGGCCTACAACCATAAGCTTGAGCTTTTGGTTGAATTGGTTCCTTGAGAGTTGGTTTACATTGACTGAGCAGGGGTCTCTTGTAAACATTCTCTCTACTTTTGAGTAGGGGCAAGGTAGCTACACGATCTCCCTAGACCCTACATTTTTGTGAGATTTTACTGGGTCTGGGGTTGTTGTTGTTAGCAGTATACCCCTGCTTCTACTTAGGAAATGAACAAACAATTACGGAATATTCTCCACAAGAACCAAAAATGCAAACAGAGCGTGAAATATGAGTACTTCATTGGTATCTAGTTGAGTGGAAAGGAATATATTTATTAGGCCCTGTTTGCAGTTATTTAATCTGAGCATTTTTGCATTATCTTGAACTTTTTTGTAATGACGAAAAATGAATTTTATTAAATGGAGGAAACGTACAAAGAGGGTGGATTTTAAAGCCAATGCCCTCTTGGGGTGATATAACAGCATAAGGATAGCTAATTGCATTGTGTTTCAAGATCCCGGTATGGGCAAGGAATGGTATTTGGAGAGTAGTTCTGCATTTTACAATTGATGAGGCCCTCATACGCTAGTTGCTCAGCAGCTTTCTTCGCAGGGGAAGGTTGTAGCTGTTGTGCCAATCCTTAACTGCTAAAATTGAAACAATGATTCTATTATAGCAAGGAGACATATGAAATTGTGGTGAAGGGAAGGCCGACCATTGACAACATGTAGGAAGTTAAGGTTATCACTTTCAATGGTGAGGTTGAAACGGCCAAGCGAGGAGCAATGACGGAGGGAGTGCATGATGGTGAAAGGAGGGTTCGCCAGTAGCATCTTCCGGGTTAGGAGTGTGCTTGAATGGGGTTCCCCTTACGAGTTATGATTAAGGACAATCTCTCCTTCGAAGTCCGAACCCATTTCTGGATTTATGAGAGAAGAGCACAACATTGAGTTTGTAGTGATTGCTGAGCGGCACCATCTATATAGCTATTCTTGGAGTTGCTTCGTTTTTGTATCTGGTGTGAAATTGCCAGTATTTGATGATGTCTCCTATGATAATCAGTAGCTTGCTACTTGAAATCATAACTACTCCTCAACAGATGGTATAGTGTTATGAACCGGGATATGTCACAGGTTTATTTGCGAAGAATGTGTATGTGTGTCTGGATTTTGTTGGCATCCTTAACTCCTTAGGTTTTGGTTTTGTTGAGACCTAAAACTTCCCAGACTTCTTTTGGAATCCTCTGCATGTATCACACCTTAACAGAACTCCCTTATATAAGGGAGAGTATTTTGGCCGTTACGTTCTGCTCAACTTTTTAATAGCAGATAGTTGATATTTGTTTCAACGTTTCATTTTGATGTTTTTTTAACAGGCACGTTCTATTCATCTAGGGGCCATTCAGGAGGTTTAGAGAATATGGATGCTTGTACTCCTGATTTGAAGGTAGTAGATTTCCTAGTCATTTATACTATCATTTTTTTTATTCTTAATATTTTCAGAGTTGTGTTAAATATTTTACATTTCATCTTATAGACATCTTATGAATGTGATAACTCAAAGGAGTCTGAATCTCCACGCTTTCAAGCTATACTTCGTCTGACTAGTGCACCGAGGAAAAGGTTTCCAACAGATATCAAAAGTTTTTCCCACGAATTGAATTCTAAAGGCGTACGCCCTTTCCCGTTTTGGAAGCCTCGAGGTTTAAATAACTTGGAGGTTAGTAATTGATGGTATGATCATTTATATTTTGGGGATGTTTAGTTTCTTAGTTTCAGCAATTGATCAATTTTTTAATAACTACAGGAGGTCTTAACGATGATAAGGACAAAGTTTGCCAAAGCCAAGGAGGAAGTTGATTCTGATCTTCATATATTTGCGGCTGATCTCATTGGGATTTTAGAAAAGAATGCTGAAGCGCATCCTGAATGGCAAGAAACTATAGAGGACTTGCTGATTATAGCTCGAAGATGTGCAATGACTTCATCTGGGGAATTTTGGCTTCAATGTGAAGGAATTGTTCAGGAGTTAGATGATAGGCGTCAGGAGCTTCCGGCGGGTACGTTGAAGCGGCTGCATACTCGAATGCTTTTTATACTCACAAGGTGTACACGGTTGCTACAGTTCCACAAGGAAAGTTTTGCTGAGGATGAAACTATATCACAGCTTTGTCAATCATTTCATCCTACGAATAATCACATTTCTGGAGGCTTGAGAACGGATCAGACATTATCCACTGCCATGAATGTTCTGAAGAAGCCTGCTACAAGAAAATCTTATAGTCAGGAGCAGCATGGTTTGGATTCGAAGGGAGGTCAGGTGATTCAGCCAGAGGGTTCTCATTCATCAACAGCTGAGACTGTTAAGAATCTGGATTCTTCAGGCGGTAGGGATCGGATGGCTTCTTGGAAGAAATTACCATCTCCAGTAGGGAAAGGACCCAAAGAGTCTACTCCAGTTAAAGAGAAAAAAGATATTGAGGCCTCTAAGTTGCGAATCAACAAGAGAGGGACTTCAGATTCAGATCTTCCCACTGCTAAGCATCAAGAGCCCCCTTCTAGCAGAGAGTCCTCTGGACACTCGTCAGGATCTTCCAAGCACCAGCACAAAGTTTCATGGGGCTATTGGGGTGACCAACCAAATCTCTCCGATGAAAGCATAATTATCTGTCGTATTTGTGAGGAGGATATTCCCACTTTGCATGTGGAAGAGCACTCTAGAATATGCACTATTGCAGATCGTTGTGATCAAAAGGGTCTTACTGTCAATGAGCGTCTGATTAGCATTGCTTATACACTTGAGAAATTAATGGAGTCATTTTCACAAAAGGATTTTCAACCCACTACTGCAAATCCAGATGGTGCAAAAGTGTCTAACTTAATTGTAACTGAAGAATCTGATCAATTATCTCCAAATCCCAGTGGTTGGTCTCGCAGAGGCTCTGAAGATATGCTTGACTGTTTACCAGAAGCGGATTATCCTGCTATTGATGATGACCTTAAGAACATACCATCTATGTCATGCAAAACTCGATTTGGCCCTATGTCTGATCAAGGAATGACAACATCCTCTGCTGGTAGTATTACTCCTAGGTCTCCTTTGCTCACACCACGAACCAGCCAAATAGATTTGTCATTGCTTGGGAAAGGTTGTTACCCTGAACATGAAGATCTCTCTCAGGTAGGTGGGTCATTAGTAATACCTAGCCCCTAAGCCCAAAAATAGATGGTCACTTTGCTTTTAGCACATTAATTATTGAAAAGAAATAAAATGTAGTTCACATTCCAAAATGTTCGGCTTAGTGGGGCCAAAGTAAGAAAGAAATGGTGAATTAGAAAAAGATAATAGGGTTCAAGTTAGGAAAGTGGATATTTGGGGAGGGTGTTTGGGAGTTGGATGATCAACTAAGGTTTGGCCCTTTTGACGTTTTTCAATTGATTTGACTGGTCGAGATGCTAAATTTAATGTTTGGAGAATGACTGTTTCCCTTGGTTGATGTGAAAAGCCAAATTTCAAAAATCTGAGATGGGCAGTGTGCATGGGTGTGTCCGTGTGTGGACAATATTTTTAGAAAAAAGTACATGCACTTTTATCTGGAAAAAACTATTTGCAAACAACTAAAGTTACAAAATAATTTTTTTGACAACACAACGAGCTGTAAAATTGCTTAACAAATCAGCTGTTCAAAGCAGTTAACACAACCCACAATCAGCCTACAACTTACAATCAACTTCCGAATAGGGTTATCATCTTGTGATAAACCATAGCGGAAAGTCAAATAAAGTGGGGCACTTGGAATACTTTTTCCCTCCTTTAGGGACAACAGAGGTGAAATAAACTCTCATATGTTCCAATTCTCTGAAAGTAATGATGATGGCATCCTCTTTTTATCTTCTAGACTTCAGTGATTATATATGCGTTCTTGTTCTTAAAGCATCATTTAATGCATTCGGGATTACTATGTCTAGGGTTGTAACATTAGCCTCCCACTTTGAGCTACAACTAGTCTGTTGGGTTCAATTCTTGCTTGATCCTTTGTTTGAATATCTTGTTTGTTACTATATTAGATGCACAAAGTATTCTGTATCGAGGGTTTGAGCAATATCTGGTATCCTTGTTATGTTTCTCTGATCATTTTAGGGGGGGGGGTGTTATATTTATGCATTTTTATATAGACAATTTAAGTTCACTACACAAATATTGTGAACATTGTAGATGAATGAACTTGCTGATATTGCTAGATGTGTAGCAAATACACCTGTGGATGGTGGTAGCTCATTGTCTTACTTAATCACTTGCCTTGAAGATTTGAAAGTAGTCATTGATCGGAGAAAGTTGGATGCACTTACCGTGGAGACATTTGGACACCGCATAGAAAAGTTGATTCGGTAAGTTAACTTTCATTTCTTCTTTTTATCGCTCATCATGCCCTTGTGATTTGAACACCATACTTCTAACATTATGAGATGTACCATAATGACTTGTCCATATATCTTTTTTCAAGTTTGGTTATCTTTCCTATCTAGGGAGAAGTGTTTACAAATGTGTGAGCTGGTTAATGATGAGAACATCGATATAACAAGTACTGTCATTGATGAAGATGCTCCTTTTGAAGATGACGTTGTACTTAGCTTGAGAACCAGTCCCGTTCATTCCAATAGAGACCGTACATCTATAGATGACTTTGAAATTATAAAACCAATTAGTCGTGGTGCATTCGGCCGGGTATTCTTGGCAAAAAAGAGAACAACAGGGGATCTTTTTGCTATTAAGGTACTAAACAATACGTTCAAGTTGTGTGTTTTGATAATCTTTTTTCATGACCACATGCATTGTTGATTTCCTCGAGAGATGCTATTTTCTGGTCAATGTGCATTTTTTTGTGATTGGAGTATCACTAGGCACATGAATTCCTTCTCATGTCCATCAATCATTGCTTTTACACCCTTTGAGGGAAATAAATATAATATTAAATGTCTCCCTCTATAAAAAGCAGTAGTGAAATAGATATGGGAGATGATGCTATGTTGTGGGGAGAGAGAGTCTAGGTCATCATTTCCTTCTCATTTACCTCTAAGGCTTTTATCTTGTTTGCCCATATATTAGTATTCATGGATAGCTATAGGGTTTATATTTATTTTATGTGTGCTCTATTACTTTGCTTTGTGACATTGCCCCTATATGGCTACAAGTCTTTTGGACAGTTTGTTGTTCATTGTTCAGAAACAACTTTTTAGATTAAAAGAGATGTTTGACATGGGTTGGTCATCTTTTTGGATAACCGACTCAGGTCAAACTTATACTAGAAGTGTTCATACCATCTTTCTTGTCCCAAAAAGCTGCTATAGAAAAAGATTGAAATTCAATTTTTTGAGGTTAACTTTATGCATTATTTCTTTCTTAGATAAGGACAAAAACATAATGAAACAAATTTTGGACCAAACATAATGAAAATGATTATAGGCTAAACAAAATACTACGGGGTATAAAAAATTATGGTGAAAATATAATCGGCAAAGATATTATGCCAACAAATTATGAAAATAACCTCACTGAAAAATATGCACAAAACTTATAATGAAATACTCTATAGTATTTACTAATTAAGTTCGAAGCTACATAAATGAAATATATGTAGTGTAATTATTAATTCATACGAATCTATAAATTGAGTAATAAAAAGTAAAGTTGTTTAATACTCCTTTTCCCTAATCTTGAGCCTTTAGGAAAAGTCATCCCAACTTTTGACCATTAATTTCTCATGAAACAACCAAAAATAATAAAATTTACAAATTATGGAACTATTTTTCATCACAGATAAAACAATATAAAGATCTTTTTTTGACTTTGATACCACAACAAAGCGTTCTCCCACCAGGTTGGGTCGGCTACATGGATCAAACGACGCCATTGTGCCCTATCATGTACCATATCTGTTATTAGTAATAATATTAGTATTTTAGTAGTCTTGAGAATATGGCAGGCTTTGATTTGGCCATTAATATGGGTGATTTAGGCATTAACATGGGAGACTTAGTTTCCTTATATTAGCACCCTTCTTATGTATATATAGTCATTTTGTATTATGTAATTATGTATAATGAGGAAAACCTCTGAGTATCTGAGTATCAATCACATGGTATCAGAGCCAGGTTACTCTAGGGTTAGGGTTCATTGTTTGTAGAAAAGGCTTCTGCCATTTTGACGCTGCCTCTGGGGGTGCTTGCCTGACTTCACTGCCACCTCCGGTGGACTCGCACGTTGCAGGAGAACAATTCTGGAGCATCTCTCCTCCATTGGAGACCTCGTGCCCCGCCACTGCTTGTCAGATCCACCGTCAAAAACCATTTTCAGGGTCGCCTGAGTCATCTAAGCACCTATGAAGACTCAGTTTGGACATTCAGTGGGTGATTTGCTGTCTTCCTCTGCTGTTCAGGTTTTGTTCAAATTTTAGTTCATTGAAATGGGTAATAAGTCTAGTGTCATCACTCAAGTTGTTCGAGTCATGTCAAAAATCTCAAAGAGGAAACTTAATTCTTCTAATTATCTTGAATGGGTCACAACTATTAAACTATATCTCCGAAGTACTGACAAGGAAGATCATATGACTGATGATCCTCCTAAGGATGCAACTACTAAGAAAGTCTGGTTGAGGGATGATGCTCGACTATTTCTCCAAATCCGCAACTCAATTGATGGGGATGTGCTTGGGTTAGTTAGTCATTGTGAAACAGTTAAAGACTTAATGGAATATTTGGAATTTCTATATTCAGGTAAGGGAAATCTTACTCGTATCTATGAGACTATGACGTATGTAAGGCATTCTATAGGGCAGACTAGCAGGATCAATCTCTTCAAGCATACTTCATGGACTTCAAGAAGACATACGAGGCCTTAAATTCATTAATGCCCTTCACTCCAGATGGCAAAACTCAGCAACAACAGCGAGTGCAGATGGAAACTATGACTTTCTTGGCAGGCTTGGCCCCGAGATTTGAGGCTGCCCGAGAAAGGGTCCTTGCAGACTCGGATCCCACTCTACAGGATGATAACTCACGGGTTTAACGTAGTGAGAGTGTGAAACCCATAGAGCCTTCAGATGGTGCACCCCAGAATGCTCTTATAAGTCAGAGGATGCAAAGTATGTCAGCAAAGCAACCATATAAGTCATTCGTTCGTAGTGGCACCCCACAGAATCAAGAGCCTATAATCTGTCATTATTGTCACAAAGAGGGACATTATAGGCGTGATTGTAGGAAACTTCAACGTGCTAATCAAAGGGGACGAGCTGCACACTTTGCCTCTGGTGAAAACTCTAATCCCCCAACTTCAACAGATGAGTATGCTCAATTCATCCAATTCAAGGAGTTCCTGCAACAATCATCTCCTCCTATGACGGAAATTACGGATTCAGGTAACGATAATGCTTGTCTTGTCTCGTCTTCCTCCAAGTGGGTTATTGATTCTGGAGCCACAGATCATATGTCAGGTAATCCCAGCGTCTTCTCCACTTCTCAGCCCTACACATCTCATTCCCCTGTTATCCTTGCTGACGATTCCACATCTAAGGTCCTTGGGTCAGGCTCGGTCATCCTAACTTAAAATATGCATCTGTCTTCTGTTTTGAGTTTAACCCATTTCTCATTTAATCTGTTATCTCTTAGTAGACTTACTCGTGATCTTAATTGCTTTGTCACATTCTTTTATGATCAATGATCATTGTGTGTTTCACGATCTTACGATGAAGAAGATTATTGGTGAAGGACGTGAGACTAATGGCCTATATCTTCTCAACACTTCCATTCCTAAAGCATCTGCTTGTATTGGGATTGAGTCACCTCTCGAGATTCATTATCGTCTTGGTCATCCATCCTTGTCCCTGTTAAAGAAAATTTATCCTCAATTTCAACATCTTTCTGTTTTAGAGTGTGAATCATGTCGTTTCGCTAAACACCATCGTGTTAGTTTGAGTCTTAGAATAAATCTACGGGCAAGTGCTCCTTTTGAGTTGTTTCATTCAAACCCGGATTCTGGTTCTTTGTTACTTTTGTTGATGACTATTCATGTATGACTTGGCATAAAACCAAATTGGTTCTCTGACACCGAAGTCTCTTATCTCAACCTCTGTCCAACCATTCTTTCCCACAACTTCATTGTATGAGTCATGAGCTTGATCCCTCCGTAGTTTTCACAATTCTGTATATCCCCCTTATTCTTCTAAGTAGGGACCAAATTGCTCTTCCTCAAATCTTTCGGTATCTTCTTAGATCATAGAATCTCATTAAAAAGCTTAGGTAGCCACCAAATGACTTTTCCTCCTAAACCTTTCCAAACATCAATCGGGACATTGTCCGGCCTCACTGCTTTGCTATTCTGCATCCGTTATAGGGCCTCCTTAACTTCAATTTCTCGAATTCTCAGATAATAATTGAAGTTTTTGTCCTCCTCTCTCGTAAGTAGCCAATCGGAGCATGTGAGATTCGCATGCTCCTCATTAAACAGATCATTGAAGTAGCTCTTCCACTGCTCGTTTATGCTTTCATCAGTGACCAAAACTTCACTACTTTATCTTAAGTGCACTTAACTTGGTCCAAATTCCGCATCCTTCTTTCTCGACTCTTCACAATCTTGTAAACACATGTTTCCCCTTCTTTCGTACCCAATGATTGGTAAAACCCTTCATATGCTCTCATTTTTGCTTCACTTACTGCCACTTTTGTCTTCGTCTTAGCTGTCTCATACTTTTCCCAGCTTTCAACATTACGACATAACGACCACTCCTTCAAACGAACCTGCTTTACCTTTACCTTCTCTTTCACACTACTATCCTACCACCATGATTTTGCCTCTTACATTATTGCCTTTAGGGCCTGTTTGGTTGGATGAGAGGAGAGGGGATGGATGGAAGGGATGGGGAGGGAGCCCCCTCCCCTTGTTTGGTTGCGGAGAGGAAGAGGGAGGGGACCTTAGCTTCATCAGCATCCTTCCAAACAGGCAGCGGTGCTGTCCTTACGATTACCACCAAAAATTGGGCCACCGCACACACAATCACTTTTTTAATTCAGTTGTTTGACCAAGGAAGAAGACAACTAAGGTGAGATTTTGGAATTTTGATGGGTAGGTATGTCCACTAGGGCTCTAGAGGAAGGTTAATTCGATGCTCAGGTATTTATACTAGGCCTCTTGGACGAAGGAAGAAGACGACTAAAAAAGTCGACTAATGACGGTCAGGCTTTTACATGCGCGAGCGATGTTGGACAAAGGAAAAAACAATCCGCCCGATTTGGAGGGGAAGGATAAGGGGAGGGGAAGGATTGGGAGTTAACAATTTTGATTCTCTCCCCTCCACCTGTTTTTTTAAACAAGCAAGGGAAGGGGTTTATTTTCCCTCCCCTCCCCTCCCACCCAACTACCCAACTAAACTGACCCTTGGTTTCTCCAAGGATTTGTTTTCCCACCTTTCTAAAAGTAGCTGCCATATCACATCATTGCTCAGACTTCCATGACCTTCCCATTTTGCTTCTTCTACTAAATGGCGTTGGAAATCCCTTTGCTTATCACCTATCAACTGCCACCATGTAGTCCTTGGGCTTATCACCTATCACCTACCAACTCCCACCATGTTGGAAATCCCTTTGCTTATCACCTATCACCTATCACCTATCAACTGCCACCAAACGTTTAACAAGTAACAACCCGTTGCCAAACATAACATATATTTTATTGATGATACCTTTTTGTTCGTACCTGTAAAAGGGCATACGCGATGTTAACACTTGCACACAGTGGATTAATTTGAACATGGGAAAACCCCATTGTATTAACATCCCCTAGTGATGCCTAAACTTCTATGCATGCAATGTTTTAAAAAGCACCAGGCGTTATGCGCATGCGGGCTAGGCGAGGATTTTTAGATCATAAAATCCATATAAAATAAAAATTGATGGGACAATTCCATAAAGTGGAGTATATAATTTTGATCTCTTGCCAGCATGACACAAATCACAAGCTGATCTATCTTGCAGAAACATAGTAATTTTGAGTTCAATTCATAAATCATTTCTCTGGTTCTTATCAATGTTATTAAACCCGGGCTGGCAAAAGAACCGGCATGGCAGCCGGTTTCCGGGGTTTCTCATGTTTTTCTGGGTCCTTTTGGATCATTCCAGATTTTCCAGGTTTTGGGGTGTTGGACCGGATTGGTATGGTGTCCGGTTTCCAGTTTGATCGGTCCAATCAGCCGGTTTGGTTTGGTTTTAATAACACTAGTTCTTATATACTTACTCTGACCCACTTTGTTTGTCATTTATGGGAAACGGTGTTTTCAAATCATTTTATTTAAATATTGATCAAAAATTCAAAAATAAATTTTATATATTTAAAAATTACTTTAAAGTTCTACTTTGTAAAAAACAAGAGTTGACTGTTATTTTAAGAAATGATCAATGAAAATAACTAAGAAAAAAATATACTCCCTCCATCCCAAAATTATTTCTCGTTTAAGTTTACGCGGTTTAATTGAATTTATTTTCAATTCAATTTTATTATTTATTAGTGCAATGTTTTAAAATAAAATGTATATATATAATACATATATATATATATATATATTTAAAAACTACAGAGTGCATTAAAAGTTCTACAAAATAAGAGGTGACATAACCATTTTACTTTAAGAAATGATCAATGATAATACATAAGGAGCTATGATATGGTTTGGCCGTATAAAAAGTAAATAAATTTGGGAGGAAGGGAGTAGTTTGATCATGTGAATAGTGGAAGTGACAAAGATTGCAGGGCAAAGGGAGTATTACTTTTATGAAATATTATTGTTGTCTCTGAAATCTTGATGTCGGCATAAAGGTGATTGGTGGTGGTGCTATTTGGTTCGCAGTAAGGTGGAAGAGAAGGTGGCATATAAAAGGTATGTGGAAGGTAGTAAGGAAGAGGTTAGGGTAGCTCTTAGAGTGGAGTATAAGATTGGCGATAAAGAAGCTAAGTTAGAAGGCAGTAAGGCAAAGACTGCAGCTTTTGAACGCCTTTGCAAGGACATAAAGGAGCTAGGCGACGATAAGAGGCTTATTCAGCTAGCCAAGGCACATGAGAAGAAGTCCAGGTATTTGGATTAGGTGAGATGTGTGAAAGATAGCTATCACAGTGTTGTTCAAGGTTGCATCGGTGTCCAACCATTCAGGAGAGTAGTTCCATGATCTTTTGATTGCAGGAGGAGATCTTAGGCTAGAGCTAGGTGAGTTGGGGCAGTCGGAGAGGCATCGAGATTTTGGATATTGCAAGCGCATTAGCCAGGAGGAAGAGCAAGGGCTATCCGCGAGATGATAAAGGGGAGAGCCTTGGGGTCGGATGACATTTCTCAGCAATGGGTTGGTTTGGGTAACCAACCTTTGCAACGTTATTTTTAGGACAACTAAGGTGCATGATGAGTGGAGGGAGAGTGTGTTGGTACCACTGTACAAAGGTAAGGGTGATATTCAAAGTTGCAAGAATTATAGAGGCATCAAACTTCTTAGCCACACCATGAGGGTTTGGGAGCGGGTTATTGATGCTAGGTTGTGGAAGGGGTTGTGCATTTTAGAGGGTCAATTTGGTTTCATGACTTTCCCCCCGACCACGGAGGCCATTCACCTCCTGCGGAGGTTGATGGAAGAATATAGGGCTTAGAAGAAGGATCTCCATATGTTGTTTATTGATCTCGAGAAGGCGTACGACAGGGTGCCGAGGGAGATCTTGTGGAGGTGTCTTGAGTCTAGAGGAGCTTCGATGGCCTACATTCAAGGAGTTAGATATATGTATGGCGGGGCAAGGACTAGGGTAAAAACTATTGGGGTGACTTTGAGGCTCTTTTTGTAGAGGTGGGGTTACACATGGGGTCTGCTCTTAGCCCCTTCTTGTTTGCTCTCGTAATGGGTGTCCTATCGCAGGGTGTTCAAGGGGAGGTTCCTTGGTGCATGCTCTTTGTTGATGATATTGTGCTCATGATGAGACCCATGAGGGACTTAATGACAACTTAGAGCTCTGGAGACATTCCATGGAGTCCAAAACTTTGAGACTATGTAGTGGCCGAGTGACAGAATCATGGAGGTTAGGATTGATTGCCACCCAGTGCCTAAGAGAGACAAGTTATAGTATCTTGGTTTGATCATCAAGGCGAATGGGGAGTTAGGCTTGGGCAAAGTGGAGGTTGGCCTCAGGGGTTCTATGCCAAGAAGATTTCAACTAGGATGAAAAGGATGTTCTACAATGCAGAGTGTTGGGTGATTAAGAAGACCCACGTTCGTCAATTGCATGGTGCAGAGATGCAGATGTTGCGGTGCATGAGTAGACTGACGAGATTGGATAGGATGCAGAATGAGATTATTCGAGGACTGATAGGAGTGACACCCGTTGAGGACAAGATACAGGAAGCTAGGTTGAAATGATTTGGACATGTGCGGCGACGGAGTATTGCAGCCCCAGTGCGGAGATGTGAGATACTTACGCTGGTGGGTGGGGGTAGGGGACGGGGTAGACCTAGGAATAATTGGAAGGAAGTGATAAGTGAGGACCTTAGACTTCAGGCCCTTACCGAGGATATGACCTTAGATATGAGTATGTGGAGAGCGAGCACTAGGGTAATTGGGTAGGATTTTGGGATTGCTTGTTTTTGCTCTTGTTGTGTGCGCTTCCTTTGCTGCATATTTTCTGCTTTCTACTTGTTTTTTCCCCTTCGTTAACCCTAGTTTGCTCTTTGCTAGTTTTTCCATGCTATGTGCTTTATGTGCCTTCCATGCTCAGTATGTGCCAATNGTGCTCTTGGAAACAACCTCTCTACTTTCAAGTAGGGGTAAGGTCTGTGTACACACACCCTACTCTTGTGGGATCAAACTGGGTTGTTATTGTTGTTGTCCTTGAGCCATTGTCCCTAGATTTGAGTGAAATGTTCCTTTTTTTCTCTTGATGTTCTATACTGCTGTGTGCAGTTTGCTGTCTGATTTCTGTCTATTCACTGCTTCCACTCTCCTGGGTTTTCATCTTTTATATCAATTCATCCAAAATTACTTCGTATAGGTACTCAAAAAGGCTGATATGATACGCAAGAATGCAGTTGAAAGTATTTTAGCAGAACGCGACATTTTAATAGCTGTCCGCAATCCATTTGTGGTGAGAACATCAAGCTGCAATGTTTAACTCTTACTGCGGAAACAATGACTTATATGTAATCATATATCATTCATTCTAGGTTCGCTTCTTCTATTCATTTACTTGCCGTGAAAATTTGTATCTTGTGATGGAATACCTGAATGGTGGGGATCTCTATTCACTACTGAGAAACCTTGGATGCTTGGATGAAGATGTGGCTCGTGTATATATAGCCGAAGTTGTAAGGACAGTATTAAAATAGAGTATACCTTATAGTATTCGTTCTACATATGACACCTTTAACAATGCTGTAATCTAGTAATTGCAATTGTGTTTCCAGGTACTTGCCTTGGAATATTTACACTCCTTGCGGGTTGTTCATCGTGACTTAAAGCCAGACAATTTGTTGATTGCACATGATGGCCACATCAAGGTAGTATTTAAATCTTTAGTGCATTTTTTCACCATTTAAATCTCTAATATTTGATGTGTGTTCCTATTTAATCATTTCATTGTTTTAATAGATTTATACTCTATTATAGAAGTATCTATGTTTTCCTATTGTCTTTCAAACAAGCATCATTTGTAGTCCTACTCTATGGCAGAGCTTCACTTTCATTTCCTTGTTCTCAATTTTGATGAGAATGGTTAGCAACTATTCAACGTTGGAAAAGGATTATCGTCCGTTAAGAATTGTTGAAAAGTGAAAAAAACATTTTGACTTCAGAGTTTAAGAATTGTTGAAAAGTGAAAACATACTCCAAAAACATCTATTTTAAAAACATACTCTGGGGTACCTTTAATTATCCGAAAACTAACTCTAGGGGGATATTCCGTCCATTCCTCCATCAAATTCATTTTCTCCGTTATCTTTTCATCATCTTCTTTCCAAAGGGAGAGAGAAATGAAGTTGTTCACATATTTGTTTCTTAAAAGGGAAAATGGAGAAGTGTAAATTTAATTTCTAGACATTCAAAAATGGAAAGTGTGAAGCTGATCTGGAGATGGAGGGAATAAATCAGAGATCAACCTCCCAATCTTCAAATAGAGCAACAACGTACTCAGTAAGCTCTCAACTCCTTTGGAGTCTTGATTTCAAGATACTTAGAGCCTTACCCGTGTAAAAACATGAGGGTGTTTTTGTTAGTCCCTTGATGCAATTTTGCATTTACTACCCAAAACATCATAAGTAAGAAACAAGGGAAGTTTAATGTGTCATTTTTACTTGGTTTATTATTTGCATGAAGATAGAGCATCGTCAATAATATTAAGCTCCCATGGTAATGGACAACAACCTCCCAATCTTCAATGGATTTTTCAAATCTTAACATTTTTTGTTTTATGTGGGTGGAAGACTTGAAGTTGAGAAGTCATTTTTGTTTTAAGTGTCAAATTATTAAGCCCACTCGTTTTGTTTCCCAATTAACAATTGGAGGCTGAGAGGAATACCAATGTAGTTTGTGGACTAAGCATTTTCCTTTGTTAGAGAATAGAAATATATTGTAGTTAATTGCATTAAAGGTTGTCTTTGTTTTAGAAGTATTATGAATTCCTACTCATTAGGTGCAGGTTTCAGATTTCTTAAAGCCTATTCTTGTTGGCTTTATAATCAATGTAGTTTGTGGACTAAGCATTTTGGGGGCTGAGAGGAATACCAATGTAGATTGTGGACTAATCATTTTTCTCTGTTGGAGAATAGAAATATATTGTAGTTAGTTATATAAAAGGTTGTCCTTGTTTTAGAAGTATTATAAATTCCTACTCATTATTAGGTGCAGGTTTCAGATTTCTTAAAGCCTATTCTTATTGGCTTTATAGTCATTAGAAATTAATTTTTGCTGTATCAATATTGCAATAGTCTATAGAAATATGTAGGTGTGAGTTTGAGTTGGATATGAATGAGAACTGTCGTGTTACTTTATTGTTTTACATTTTAACATAGCCTATTTGAAGAAAACTACAATATACTAGCTTCTTTGGCTTTCCTTACATGAATGAAAACCATGACTCTCCTCTTTCATTTTGATGGATTTTCATTCAATGTTTCCGAAAACTAATGCTAATATCTTTCTTAAAATCATGTCATGGTTTGACGTGGCAAAGCATACTACCAACAACACCTGCATGACTACACACTGTCACTCAATACCATCCGCCCTGTGACTTCTGGCCTAACCACAATATACTAGCTCCTTTGACTTTCCTTACATGAATGAAAACCATGACTCTCCCCTTTCATTTTGATGGATTTTCATTCAATGTTTCATAAAACTAATGCTAATATCTTTCTTAAAATCATGCCGTGGTTTGACGTGGAAAAGCATACTACCAACAACACCTGCATGACTACACACTATCACTCAATACCATCCGCCCTGTGACTTCTGGCCTTAAGGGTGGAGCACCAACGACATACATGCACACAGCAGACCCAGTATAATCCCAACATCCATGGGGCGTGAGAGGTCAAGATGTATGCAATCTTGTGTTAGAAACCAGAAAAGAACACATAGGCTGGTTCTATTAGATCCTTGATGTGTTGCTGCACAAAACTGCGTAGACAGTAAGAAATGATGGCAATTTGATGTGCCATTTTGATTTTCACCATCATTTGGAGCCAAAACATTATGGATGCTGTGTGTGCGTGCGCGTGTGTGTGTCAACTTTTCTTTTCCTAAGCACATTCACCAAGTCAAGAATGTTGTCACTCAAAGTTCCTATGTTCAAGCTCTATAAATGCAACCTGGAGTCTACCGCCCAACAAAACAAGCGTTACACACACACACACTCACACACAATAATACAAAGCAATAAAAAAAATTGGGACATAGGGAGAAAATTGGTGTATAATATGTAACCATAGCACGAAAAAACAAAATGATAAATGTACAGTTCTGTTGAATACACGAAGAAAATAAAGGTATCCAATCCATGCACAGAAACCACAAAAATATTAACTATATTTGATTGAGATGCTGAGCTGAGAGTTGATGTACAAGAAAAGTAAGAAAATTAGTAGAGAAAATAAAACTAAGCATCCTCATCTTTGTTACTTCTATTTTTTGCATGTGGGTGGTATTAAGTGGCCAATGCCTTGCCCTATACAAACACAACATAGATTTTGACCACTACTCTTGAGACCTTACTCTTTCGTTTCAATGGCACATTCTTGTCGCACACGACTCTAAATGCAGTCCTCCCTTTCCTCTAGCTTGCTGTGATCTGATGAGCTATGCAACAGCAATAAACCCAGTCTATTCTAACGAGTAGGGTATGTGGAAGGTAAAACGTATGCAAACCTTGACTCTAGCCGTGAAGGACAGTGAAGGAGCTTCTCATCGACCCTCAAGTCAAGAAATAAAAGCACAAATGCGACACAATGTGTTGGCAACAAATTTCATGAGTAGATAGAGCCAAACAGCATAAAGCATAGATGGAGTACTTGTTAAAACTTACCTTTCACTCTGGATGGCACCATCCAATCCTAAAGCACCCTCCACTTCATCCACCCTGCGGCCTGCGCTAATACTATGCGCAACATCATCGTCAATATCTTCGTCCCCTTAAATCACAAACCCAAGGTACTCAAAGCTTTCCCTTTTTGGAATAATGTGAGCTCCAATCTTCATATTCACACCCAACTCTTGAAGCACATCACTGAACTTGCACACTTGTTCTCTGTCAACCCTTTAGATCCCTTAGATTCAATGGTCTTTCTCCAAACCTTGAATTTATATGTTATCAGTAACTCAATTGTGTGACTCATCAATCAAAGATATGGCATCGACAAATAGCATGCACCTTGGCACATCCTCCTATATATATCCCGTCAATTCATCCTCAAGGTCAAAGAACACTAGCTACATTGAGCTATATTACTGTTAATCTTTCTATTTTCTTGGGTGGTTGATCCAAGGTACCTTAGACAACCCTTCTTGGGATGGATTGAGATTTTATCTTCACCTCATTTTCTGACTTGTGAGGTATGTTACTGAATTTACACTTCATACACTCGACCTTTTTCGTGCTCATTTTAAAACCTTCAGAATCTGAAGTATCCATCCAAGCCTCCCGTTTCTCATTAACGCGTTGATGTGCTTTGTCGATGAGTACAGTCTGCAAAAGCATGCATCAAGGTACTTCCCTTGGGTATGTTTATCTGTCCATCACCAAGGCAGGAAAAAGAGACATAAAGCAGGCTCTTTGTTCAATCACATCTCAACTAGGGAGCGTTATAAGTCTCCAACCATTCCTAGTCTAATCTTGGCTCCATGGTACACATTTTAATTGCTTCAAGATACGCTGCACCCACACTCCGACCTTTCTTGTATATGGCTGGAAGGAGGAGAGAGTAGTCTGTGACTAACTTCTCATAATTAGAGATTTGACTTCAACCAATTGATGATTCTATTAATAAGCTTTGAAACATAAATAGGCAAAGCCTTTTACAAGTGACCCACCATAATCATACTAGGAAACATAAGTAAAAGAATCTTTCAAGAATATTATATGACATAGGATACAACAACAACAACCCTGTTGAATCCCACAAGAGTAGGGTGTGGCGAGGGTGCGTGTACAAAGACCTTACCCCTTTTCCAAAGTAGAGAGGCTGTTTCCAAAGAGACCATCAGCTTAGCTTTGAAAGTTGCATTGATTGACTAACTGCTATTTCATTACTTAAAGCAGCACAGACAGTTTAGAGATCCATTTTGCTTTATTCCATCACACCCCAAAGCCAAAAAATGGTGAATTTTTGGCTCCATCAGAGATGATGGATAAGAATAATAATAGGAAACTATGACAATCAACAACAACAACCACAACAACAACCCAGTTGTATCCCACGAGAGTATGGTCTAGGCGGTGTGTGTACGTAGATCTTGCCCCTACTTGAAAGTAGAGAGGTTGTTTCCAAGAGACCCCCGGCTTAAGCAGCACAAGTAATGGGATACTATGACTATTATGTAATTATAGGAAACTAATACATTTGTTAATAATAATGATAATAATAATAATAATAATAATAATAATAAATAATACTCTGTAATCAATAATAATAATAACTGTATCACATCACCATAAGACCTCCCCAAGATCTTTTTCTTACGCTTTTTCCATGTCAATAAACACCATATGGTAATCTCTCTTCCAATCCTTACATTGCTCCACCAACCTTCCAAGAAAGTGGATAGCCTCAGTATTAGATCACCCCAGCATGATCCTGTGTTGGTTTGGTTCTCAGAAATAGTCACCTTCTTCATCATCCTTTTCTCAATTACCTTAAATGTGTGATAGAGTATTTTGATGCCACTATAGTTGTAGTTCTGGATATCGCCCTTGTAGCACAAAAAAATTATCATACTTCACCTCCATTCCTCAGACATGCTAGTTGTCTTTAAAAAGATATTTAATACTTAATAGCCCCGTCAC